CTGTCCTCTGTAATCATACTGTTAGCATTTTTATAAACTCTGTGACCAAGATCAATTTAAGGAATACTTAATTAATTTTCAAGAGGAGTATAAGTACTATTGTTCCTGCTTATATTTCAACATTTGCTTCTAAAACCTAATTTCTGATCAATAATATTACAAATGAAGGACACCCAATTTTTTTCACTTTTTTTTTGAGACAGAGTCTCACTTTGTCGCCCAGGCTGGAGTGCAGTGGTGCGATCTCAGCTCACTGCTGCAACCTCCACCTCCTGGTTTTAAGTGATTCTCCTGCCTCATCTTCCCAAGTAGCTGGGACTACACGCACACACCACCATGCCTGGCTAATTTTTGCATTTTTTAGTAGAGATGGGGTTTCATTATATTTGACAGGCTGGTCTCGAACTCCTGACCTCGTGATTCACCCACCTCGGCCTCCCAACCTGCTGGGAGCCTCCCGAACTGCTAGAAGTCTGCATGAGCCACTGCGCCCAGACTTCAAATATTTTTTTAAATCAATTTTTTTTTAATTGTTAGCTTTTTTTTTTTTTTTCCTCCCCACCCAAAGTAAGAAATATTCATCAGGGCAAGGAAAAGGAAAAAAAAAAAAAAAAAAACAGCAACAAACACTACAGAAAATGCATCATTAGGGGAGGAAGTCTTTCTGCAATCCCCATTTCTCCCCCATGTCAACCAACTACTGTTAAGGAAATGGTACTAGTTAATTTAGATTTTGTCAGTGTATGTTCTGAGCATTTACAAAGATAGAGAAATCTAATATACAGTCTTTTATACCTTGCCATATTTCCCTAGCTCACTTATAAACTGATTTCTTTTTACTTTTTTAAAGCTGCCAAGTGTTTCATTATGTAGAAATGCATAACTTATTTAACCAATTCACTTTTGATGGACATCGTAGTTGGTTCCATTTGCAGAAGTGGAGTTTGCAAAGCATAATAAAAAGTCCCGGTCAAAGCAAATACCTTACCCTAGTTTATCTATTCTGCAAGACCAAAATACTGCCTATCACGTTTTCTTAAGGTAGACTTCACCTGTACTGAGATTTTTTTTTTTTCCTAACTTATTTCTCTTCTGAATTTTACTTAAGAATTAACACTCAGGAGTCTTACTGTTTTTTCTGAATCTTCTATGTAAAATATTATTTAAAGCAACCCACGAGTAATTTCTTAGCTAATGTGGCTTGATAAGATTGAGATTCCAGTAAAATGTACATGTGTCTGCTAACAGCACCCAAGCTTTCTCTCAAAATAGTGGTGAATCAGAATCTGCACAGTAAATATTGCTGTTAATTTCCTCTCCTTTACTCATGACTCATAGGCCTTTCTTTACATTCACAGTTTCATAGAAATTGGCAAATATTGCTTGACACTGATCATAATCAGGTTTACTTGTTCATTCCGGAGTCTAGACAAGGCCAGAAGCTACTTCCTTTTTCTGATTTGCAGAGTTTTTCTATTTCATTTTATAAAACAAACAAACAAACAAAAAACCCTATGCAGTCTATCTTATCACTTTCTTTTTTCTTTTTTTTTTCTTGAGATGGAGTCTTGCTCTGTTGCCCAGTCTGGAGTGCAATGGCGCAGTCTCGGCTCACTGCAACCTCTGCCTCCCAGGTTCAAGTGATTCTCCTGCCTCCGCCTCCAGTGAACTGGGATTACAGGTGCCTGCCACCATGCCTGGCTAATTTTTGAATTTTTAATAGAAACGGGGTTTCACCATGCTGGCCAAGCTGGTCTCGAACTCCTGATCTCAGGCTATCTGCCCCCTCTTGGCCTCCTAAAAGTACTGGGATTACAGGCATGAGCCACCCTGCCCAGCCCATGTTATCATTTTCCGGCCTTCTCTTTCTCCATTTTTTTTAAGGAGGGTCTACTCTGTTCCATTGTTTGCTTCTTCCTTTCTTCTTTTGTTAAAATCTGACAGTGGATTTTGCTTCCATATATTTATTTTTTTTTTTATGTTCAAACAACGTAAGGGTTGAGGCTGCTCTACAGTCCCTCTGCTGGCCTAGTTTACACAAATGAAAGGATGCATAATTTAAAGGACTGTGAGCACAGCCTTCTGTTAAAGGAGGATCATGCTTCAGCTATTTGTGTGAACCTGTGCAGGCTGCAAGTTCACCAATGAACCAGCAGGAATGAAGGTCAAATTGGCAAACTCTAATGAAACAAAGGCTGTAATGACAGGCCTTAAAGTGCCAGTCTCTTGAGCCACATCCTGTCTTGTTACAATTAATGTGGCTTAAAAGCAGGCCAGAAGGAGGGAAATATTCTAAGAATAAGAGAGACTGATGCTAAAAGGTTGTTTTGAAAGGGATTGTTCCAAGATCTCCCAGCAGTGACCTTCAGACCTTTCTGTTTCATTTATCACCTGTGAATGTTGGGGGGCAGGGGGCAGCTTGTGTTTGTTTTACCTCCCAGAGCACCCAGCAGATGCTCTTCAAGTCTTTTATTTGTATGGTTTTTTTGCCAGTCTGGAGTGCTAACAAGTTGTTTTCAGCCAGTGTGTAGATACCAGGGGCAAGAGTTTGGGAGGCATCCCAACCCCTACCCCTGGTAGCTGTTTACTGTGTGACCTTGAGCCTGTTGTTTAATCTCTCTTTAAAAGTGGTTTTCTTATCTGCACAAGGGTATTGCCACTAACTGTGTAAGGTGGTTGTAAGACATGGAGGACAAATGTAGCACCGTAGCTGATACACCGTCATCACTAGTAGTAGACAATTAAAGGGTATGAAAAATATTCTTCGATCATTGGTTAGAGAGGGATCCAACAATGCTACAAACGCGCAGCTTCAGGGTACTAAGAATCCACCCTCAAATTTTCTCTCTTCTTTGTTTTCTGAGATGGCTTTTTACTCTTGTCACCCAGGCTAGAGTGCAATGGCACAATCTCAGCTCACTGCAACCTCTGACTTCTAGGTTTGATTCTCCTGCCTCAGCCTCCCAAGTAGCTAGAATTATAAGCATGTGCCACTATGCCTGACTAATTTTATATTTTTAGCAAAGGTGGGGTTTCACCGTGTTGGTCAGGCTGGTCTCAAACTCCTAATCTCAGGTGATCTGCCTGTCTCAACCTTCAAAGTTCTGGGAATACAGGGGTGAGTCACCACACCCGGCCTCCACCCTCAAATTTTCTGTTTTCAGAGATGTATAAACACCTCCTTTACCTCCTAATTCATTAACCATCATGCCTGAAGATGTGATGCAAATTAAGGAAAAATTTTTAATCTCAAGTTACAAACCACAAACATTCAGGGTATTAAAAATTCAGAACATAAGCAGTTTTACATTTTAATCCTCCCTTTGTGTATGAATATGTCATGGCAGACTTTTAGGGAATGTGAAACATACCAGAACTCAACTTAATTCCGAATGGCAGGACATTTGGTCTTAGAGACCGATGAAGTTTCACTTAAAAAATAAAAATAAAAGAAGCAGCCTTGTGTTCCTTCTAAGAATTTATTGTTCAAGGAAAAATGTCTGTTCTTCATAAAGAAGCCGACAGTGGGTCAGGGACTGAGCCAAGTATTAGTCTATGTCATGACAGATTTGTATCTCTTCAGTAAATATTTCCTCGGGGAATACCGGAGCCTGTCAGATGGCGGAGATGAAGTGGCATGCTGTCACGGTGTCCATAATGGGACAGAATGCCTTTCAAGTTTAGTCTCTTTTTGCATTATATCATGCCAAGAAAGACTTGAGGTGCACTTCATCACCCCAGGACATGTGAGGGTTGGAAAATGTTCTTAGCTTTCAGTTTCTCTCTCTCTCTTTCTCCACATATATTTATATATATTTCCCAAATACCTAAAGCCAAATTAATTAACAAGCACAAAAGTCTTCCTGTTTTCTTCTCATAAAACTACGAGGTTATTGTATTTAAAGACAGTGACTTCATTATTGTTTTAAGCACAGCTGTCTGGAGCATTTCTAAGCTCCTCTTTCTACCATGACCCTACCACCTTGGACCTGGATCAGAAGCTACTTCTGACACTGCGGAAATTCCAGATGAGATTAACTGTAGGAGTAGAAAACATGGGTTATTCTCTTTCTACATTAATGCCAAATAAAGCATGGTATGGGGAAAAATAATTGGATTGTATAATGTCAACCAGAGACTGGTCCATCCTGTTTATAGAATGTGTAGCTAAGCTTCAACCACACCAGTAATCAATCTGATTGTTAAAACCTTCTGCAGAGTCAGTGGGAGGAGAACTCCCATTCTATAACATGGATTTGAAGTAAGAACCAGTTCAGCATTTCCACTGACCAGGTGGCTGACTCAGAGCTGTCACTCAACCTTTCTGGGCCTTCATTTTTTCAGCTATCCAATTGAGACAACTCTTGTCTACTGTCCACCTCACAGATCATTGTGAGGATCCAATGAGTTAGTGAGTTATTTCACTGAGTGGGTTATTTTCCCCTCCACACCATACTTTAATTTATAGAAAGTATATTGGTTAGCACCATCTTTCTCTTCTCCTCCCAGAGTTGACCATAATTAGAATTTTAGGCAGTTCTCGTAATACATGGAACTTTTAGAAAATTGGTTGGGTATTAGTGAAGAAGATGGAAACAGGGAGTCCTAGGCGGGCCCCTCTGTCATTTGGAAAGTACCAACTCTAAGTGCAAGGGTAGCCGAGAGGTACTATCTCTCAGTGGGTGGCCCTGGGCAAAGCCTTAACTCAGGATGTTCTTTTTTCTTTTTTCTTTTCTTTTCTTTTCTTTTCTTTTCTTTTCTTTTCTTTTCTTTTCTTTTCTTTCTTTCTTTTCCTTCCTTCCTTCCTTCCTTCCTTCCTTCCTTCCTTCCTTTCTTTCTTTCTTTCTTTCTTTCTTTTTTCAGAGTCTCACTCTGTAGCTCAGGCTGAAGTGCAGTGACACGATCTCAGCTCACTGCCACCTCTGCCTCCCATATTCAAGCGATTCTCCTGCCTCAGCCTCCTGAGTAGCTGGGACTCCAGGCACGTACCACCATTCCCAGCTAATTTTTGTATTTTTAGTAGAGATGGGGTTTCACCATGTTGACCAGGCTGGTCTCGAACTCCTGACCTTGTGTTCTGCCTGCCTTGGCCTCCCAAAGTGCTGGGATTACAGGCGTGAGCCACCATGCCAAGCATAACTCAACATGTTCTATTACTAAAAATAAGTAGGAAAAATAGATCCTGGAGGAGATCAGTACTTTCTGTCACACGGTATTTGTTTCCTTTGATATCTTTGGAGGGATAGTTGGTGAGAAACAAGCAAAGAAATAAAGACACAATGATAAATTTTTAATTGATGGAAACAAATGAGATGGAAGGACAGTCATGGGATTCAGGGAGGGGACATTTGGTGTGTTCAGGGAAAGCTTCTCTGAGGAAGGTGATATTTAACCTGACACCTGAAGGGCAGAAAGCTCATAAACAACAGTATGGTTTGTTCTTATTACAGAACAGGGTATGCCGATGGGGAGGAGATGGGCATGTTCTAAAAAACTTAAAGGAGGCCGATAGTGATGGCTTATGCCTGTAATCCCAAAACTTTGGGAGGCAAAGGTGGGCAGATTACTTGAGGTCAGGAGTTCCAGACTAGCCTGGCCAACATGGTAAAACCCATTTCTACTAAAAATACAAAAAAATAGCTGGGTGTGGTGGCAGGCGCCTGTAAAATCTCAGCTATTCAGGAGGCTGAGGCAGGAGAATTGCTTAAACTTGGGAGGTAGAAGTTGCACTGAGCCAAGATTGCGCCACCACACTCCAACCTGGGCGACAGAGCTAGAATCTGTCTCAAAAACAGGAGAAGACCACTGTGGCTAGAACCTGTGGAGTTCCCTGTAGAAATGGAAGACGCTATTAGAAGAAGAGGAAGTGGCTGCTGGACAGGCAGAACTATCAGATGCCCATTGTTCTTTCTATTCTTTTATGTATCTAGGCATTTGCCACATGGTTGAATTGTTGGCACATGAAGAAAAATGAAAGATAGTTCTTATATAGGATTGACTAGTCTGAATTCAGAGAAAAGCAATTAGTACATAAAGTACTATAAAATAGTTCTATGAAGAGGCATGAACAGTAAAGATTTTTCTTTTCTTTTTTAAGAGAGAGGTTTTCACTCTGTTGCCCAGGCTGGAGTGTGTGGCATAATGATAGCTCACTGCAGTCTCAGACTCCTGGGTTCAAGCAATCCCCTTACCTCGGCCTCTCAAGCAACTGGGATTACAGGCATGTGCTATCATACCCCACTCATTTTTAAAATTCCGTTATTGAGACGGTGTCTCACTATGTTGCCGAGGCTTGAACTTATGGCCTCAAGTGATCTTCCCACCTCAGTCTCCCAAAATTATGGGATTATAGCCATCGTGCTTGTCCAAAGTTTCTTTATTCTATACTTGTGACCAATGATTGGCAGGTTTGGGATTTTTTTTTTTTTTTTTTTTTTTTTTTTTTTTTTTGGGTAGCAAGGCTTCAGTGATAAGCCGAATTGTCAAATTTATCTATCCTATGTTTCTAACTGTAGAATGCAATTCTATTCTAATTGTAGAATGCAATTCTGATTTTATACTCCCCTGCAAACAAAAATGTATTAAGCCCATTGCATTTACAGGGGCCCTGAATGAGTACTTTGTATTCTTTGTCTTGCTTAAGGAAAAAGCTGCAATCCCTGTCATCAATGGATTGTGGCTTTTTCCTTACGTGAGACAAAGAATATAAAGTACATCTATCTGGAATGAAGAATGTATTGAAAATTAGGTATTTTATTGAAAATATAATGTATGTAAAGCACTGACGATCTATCTGGAAAGAAAGAATGTATTCAAAATTAGGTATTTTATTGAAAATATTTAATAACCACACTAGGTACAAAACCATAGGAATACCAGTTGTAAATATCTAGAACAGTCACATAGGTGCCCAGTGCAGTAGCTCAGCCCTGGTGGCATATATCAGTGAGCACTCTAATGAGAGTCTTAACAGGAAGTCATTACCTCAGCCTGGGGAGGTTAGAGATTCGGTCACAGAGGAAACTTGGGTGAGATGACATCCTTTTAGGTGGTCTGGTTTCTACATTACACATTTCCCAATACCTAGAACTTCTTCATCTAAACTTTTTGGAAAATACTCAAGATTTTACTCCTTGCATTTAAGATACGGTGTTTTATTTGTAAGGTTATGCGATCATCTCTGAAAAAATACATTCACTCCTGGAGTGTATACCATTTGGGTACTTTTATGAGATTTTAGTTTAGCACAGCTGACCCTTCTAGTCTGATCAATTGTTGTAAGTCCCTCTAGTGGGTAGCATTTGCATATGTAAAGCAATGTGAACAGCCATAGTCGAAAGAAATAGAACTCCAGAATTCATTGTTTAAGAGTAAAAATTGTGATATCCTTCATCAGCACATTTCACCTACCAAAGCCTAGTTATATCACCATATGTTATCCTCTAAGGCAGGATTTCCCAATATCAGCATCGTAGACATTGGGGCCATATAGTTCTCTGCTGTGGGGGGCATCATGTTCTGTGCACCGTAAGATGTTTGCAGCATCCCTGGCTTCTACTCTGTAGATGCTGGTAGCACCCTCTTCTCCAGTGTGATAACCAAAAATGTCTCCAAGCATCATCAGATGTCCTAAGGTTGATGGCTGGGAGGAGAGGGAGGTGTGCAGAAATTGCCACAGGTTGAGAACCACTAAGAAAAATTAAAGGGACTCAGGCTGGGCATGGTAGTTCATGCCTATAATCCCAGCACTTTAGGATGCCAAGGCTGGAGGATTCCTTGAGCCCAGGAGTTCGAGACCAGCCTGGGCAACATAGGGAGACCCCATCTCTACAAGAAATTTAAAAATTAGCCAGGTGTGGTAGCACATACCTGTTGTCTTAGCTACTCAGAAGGTCAAGGTCAGAGGATCACTTGAGATCAAGAGGTTGAGGTTGCTGCAGTGAGCCATGATCATGCCACAGTACTCTAGCCTAGGTGACAGAGCAAGACCCTGTATCAAAAAACAAAAAAAATTAAAGGGACTCAGTTCTATCCCACAAATGGCTGCCATAATGCTTTCTTCTTTATTTGAGGAAGAAATAAGAATTACTCCTTTTTTCTCTTTTTCTTCTTTTTTGTTTTGTTTTTGTATTTTGTTAAAAACATAAATGCTACATAGCATTCTTCCCAGGTAAGAAAGGCGGAATGGCATGTTGTGGTCATACACTGGGAATCTTGGAGCCTAGCTAGACTCACGTGTCAATATCTGCCCCTATTTAGCTGTGTGACCTTAGTCAATTTGCTTAAACCTTTCTGAGCCTCAGTTTTCTCTTCTGCACAGTGAGGCTAAAATAGTACTGCACCATGTGGTGGTTGGGAAGACTCAATAAGATAATGGATACAACATCTTAGTGCTACAGCGAAGCACTTAGTTTATGTCAGCACTGTTGGTGTTAACTGTACATATTCGTTAACTGTGCATGTGCAGCAAATCATTCTAAAACCATCAGCACTTGGATAGCCTGTACCCTCCTTGAGGTCAGAGACTTTGTCTCAGTCACATAAACATTTGATGGAAAGAAGGTAGATCAATGGGGCTTTATACAAACCCATAGTTCTGCGAAATTCCAGGAGGTACTAACGGTATATGCATCACGTGTAATCTTTCAAAATGAAAAATGAATAAATCAATAATATAGTGATTTTGTTTCGCTTCAGGTAATAATAGTGGGGGATCCCCCACCATGTGAGTCATTGATGTACAGTCATATACTGCAGCGGTGACTGTCTCCGATTTAGTCATTTCCAGGTGAATTTGCAGTTAAATGATTAACCTGTAGGTACTATAAGTTGCCATTAAAAAGCCAAACCTCTCCTGACGTCTTTCCTGTCCTAGGGTGAAACCTTTAGGTGGCATCTACTTTCAATTCATCAAGATTTTAAAAGATAGTTTGATCCTTTTTGTTCAAGGCTTTCCCTGGGTCTTTCATGCCCCTGGGGAGGTCCTCCTAGCACGTGGCAGGTGCACACTCCTCAGCATTTTTGTACATGCTGGGGCACATTCCTTTTTTCCTGGGTTCCTTGGGCAGGAGGGAGCTTGCTTTGTCTGCCTGTGGGGCGTGCCGTGATCCGCCCCTCCCTCCTCATGTCCTCCATGATACAGAAACGATGAACAAATTTCCTACCTAGAGGGTGTATCAGGAAACCCCCAATGAAATAAACAGAAATATAGCAGCCAGTTTTTATAAAGCCCGAAACTCACAGAGTTGGAAGTCTGAGTGACACAGATACATTAACAGAATAACTCAGCTGTTTCTCAATAATGGAAAGATGTGGATCCAGCAGCAGTTTTTGCTTTTGTTTCTCCTATTAAGTGACTACCCTCCAAGTGATAAAATTGGAGAGGTGAACTGAGAGTTCTTTATTAAAAATATAGCTGACTTTATCGCTTACTGAATTTTGATTCTGAGCCAGGCACTGGGCTAAGTGGTTGACAAACATAGTTTCCCTGACTCTTCCGACAATTCTCTGAGGTAATGGTCCCATTTTATAGATGCAGACACTGAGACCCAGGAAAGTTAACCTTGTCGAATACAACACAGCTATAAGTGACAGTACCAGAATGCTAACCAAGGCAATCTGACTTGGTTCTTGTGAGCCCCACAATGGAGGGGCTCTGTCCCTTATTTGCTGACAAGAACAAGACCGTGAACATATAAGGCACTCAAGAAATACCTGTTGATTGAAAAGGAATGAATAAATGACTCCCAAAGCCACTGAAATACATATCTGAAGTACAAGTGCCCTGTCTCCTAAAAGTCCCTCTGCTTTTCCTTGTAGTATTTTTTTTGCTAAAGTTTGACAGTAGCCTCAGATATTTAGGAACCATTGTAATAGTGGGGTGGGGCAGGGGAGAGGTGATTTCTTCTGGTTCTTTAAGTCTGTAAAAGTGGGTAGAATCTAAATATTGATTATAGATTTCAACAAAGTGGCTTAAATATTCAGCACATTCATTTCATTAAACAAAGTGTAATCATGTGCAGCAAATTATTCTAAAACCATCAATACTTTTTTTACTTAATCTTAGGATTAATGGAATTTCTTGTGATTACAATGTTTTATACGGTTCACTTTCAAAATACTGTTTGATTCCACCATGATTTTCTGTGTCAGTTTTAAATTTTTGACATTTCTTATTTTTTCGTTTTGTTTTTCTTTGACACTTTATTTCTTTTAAGATAGGATTTGTAACCTTAAGATATATTCTCCTCCTGTTGTAATTTCTTGATTATCTCTTTGTTAATGTTATTTATGTTGCTCGCCTTTTAATATTTTATCCGTCTACTTACTTTTGCAATCGCAAAGTAATCCCAGGTATTATTCTTCAGTCACTCTCTACTTCCTTCTTTTGATACCAAAGGGCACAACTAATCATTCAAGATGAGCGTAGAGTAGAAAGAAATCTCCAGAGACCTAATTTTATTTTCACCTTACAACTATTTCCCTTTCATCACTAGCAGCATAGATTTTATCTAAAAACAACATAGTTTTCAAACTTGTAGCTTCTAGTAGGTGCCACATAGACAATAATAAACACTCACCAGTGATTATTATTATGCTTATATAATTATCACTTTAGAAAACATTCCAGTGCATACTCTTAACTGTATTGCAAGACAAATAAAGCTCCTTTTTTTTTTTTTTTTTTTTTTTTTTTTGTTAATCTCCAAGACTGAACATTTTGACCTGGGCAAAGTATATTTTTCTGTTTTAATATGAAAATTACAAGTGTACATGTACATACACATGCATATATTTCATATATACACACACACACACACATGCACACACACACACACACATATGTAATAGTTCTACCCTGTAAGATACTATATCCTGTAATAGTACTACTCTCTATGGACACTAATATTGCCCAAATAATAGAAAATGGGAAACATATTTAACTTCCTTGTACCTTCCTTTAAACTTTGATCTCTTTCCTCAAATACAGAATGTTTTCTTTGCAACCCTTCTTTATCTTCCAGGCAATTTTGAGTATTCCTTATTATATGGGGGATAGGCTATTTCTTTAATGCAGAAGCCCAACAAGTCAGGTTGGCCTGTGGATATTTATTTGACCAATATCCCCTTCTCCTTCCATTGGTCTGAAATCCCCTCATGACTTTTTTTTTTTTTTCTTTTTTGGGACGGATTTTTGCTGCTTGTCGTCCAGGTTGGAGTATAGCCACGCAATTTCAGCTCACTGCAACCTCCACCTACCAGGTTCAAGTGATTCTCCCGCCTCAGCCTCCCAAGTAGCTGGGATTACAGGTTCTCAACACCACGCCCAGCTAATTTTTGTATTTTTAGTAGAGATGGGTTTCACCATGTTGGCCAGCCTGGTCTGGAACTCTTGACCTCAAGTGATCCGTCTGCCTCAGCCTCCCAACATGCTGGGATTATAGGCATGAGCCACTGCGCCCAGCCAAGCCACTGCTCCCGGCCCCCCTCATTATTTTGACCAGAGGGTGCCTCTTATTTATCTTCTAAGATAAACACTGGGGAAAGGGAGGGGAATGAACATTGATCAGTTGCCTGCTCTGTGCCAGGTGCTGTCTGAGGCAAGATGCATGAGCAATCTTTCAGCAAATGAATTCACCTCATCTCCACTGCCATTTTTAGAGCTACATCCTGGCCCTCAGACATGGAAAATCCAGAAATAAAAAACACAATAGGAGAATGATTCCAGTAATTTCTCTTTCTTCTTTTTTTTTTCTTTTTCATGCAAGCACAAGAAAGTGTTACTGATTTCAGCAATTTCAAAAGAAAAGCCAGCTTATATCCAGCTGCCAGCTAGATCAACTGCCACTACAATTAGAAATATTTTCCTAGCAACTTCAAACATTAAAAAGAATCACAGTGGCAATAATATTTAATGTTTAAAACACGGACCTCCCAACTGGTTGGACGGTGAAAATCTCACTCTTGTATAAAATAGACCAACCTATATTCATTTTATATAAACTTTTATTATTTTAATTTTGAGAAATACACAAGAGTGCCAAAAATATGACAATATCTGTAAAACCACTTAAATAGATATTACTAATATTTTGTCATATTTACTTCATCTTATTTTTATTAATAAGAGAAAATATTGCTAATGATATTGAAGTTTCTTTATAGCTTACTCTTCATGCCATCTGCCCCCAGAAGCAACCACTGAATTTTGTGTCATTACAATTCACATTTATACTATCATATGCACATATATAAAATTATATTTGGCACAAAGTTTTAAGATTACAGGTGGGGAAATGAATTGCTCTCTGCCTTTCACACTTAAAACCCAGTCTCATTCCCATAACCTTGTGCAAACCCAGTTACTGTCTAATTATTTCAAATTCTCTAAGTAAACTGAAATCCTTCACCTTTTAAGTAGAGTTTTTGCTTGCAGGGAGCGTATTTGCTCTCAATGCAGGGGCAGGCTGAATGGAGTCCAAAGCGCTAGGGTTTCACATTTGTAAGTGATAAGAGGGGGAGGTGGTGGTTTTCAGAGATCATGTTTCAAGTCCAGCCCCGGTTTTTATGTGTGTGGGAATGGACGCAAAGGAAAACACAGCTGAGCTGCATTGTAACTCTTCCTGTAGAACCTGTTCATGTTCAGGGTGAGTAAACTAGGGTAGAAATGTCTTCCTAAAACAGCCTCCGGTGAAATTTGTCCTTGGATTCAAAGCAACTTACTTCCCAGGAAGTATCAGGGAAATCCCAACTGCCCCCCATTTTAGAAAGGTCTCTTTTCTGGGAAAATCTGCCACTGAGAACTTTGCCCTCCTCTCTATGATGGGAGGAAGAAATAGAATTAGGGAGGTGTCACTCAGTAGAGTTGCTGATGTCAGTATTGTGTCAGCCGTGGGAGGCTCAGTTTGTGAAATTGAGCTACACCTAAGTGTCTTATGAAACTCAGTTCAGAACTCACCGGAGCTTCTGTCTGGAAGTGGGGAGGTCAGAAGAACCCTAAGTTTTTTCCTCACATTTCTGTCCCATTTTTGGAACCTCTGGATTTAAAGAAATGAAAGCCTCAAGTTTATGGAGATTTTAAGAAATTGGTATGTAGCTTTATACTTTTATTAATTCCTCTTTGAACGTGAGTGAATGTTGTAGTTACAGACAGCTATGTGTGTGGACCACGGAGGGCTGTGTTGTTAGGGTGTGCTGGTTTATTTCACTCTGTATGGAATTGGGGAGTCCAGTCCAAACGCTTTTTTCCCATGCCTGCATATGCATAGAAACCTTCAGCTCATTTTGTTGCTTTACATGATGAGGTTTACATGTTTGTGAAAAGCCTGGGTTCCCGTATGTCAGGAAATGGTTTTGCTGGTAGTGCAATGCAGAGAAGTGCTTATTATTTAGACCATTAAAAATAATCTTTTAAAATTATTTGAACATAATTTTTAAATCCAGCCGAAGTCTAATAATGGAATGAAATCTCTATATTGGTATTTCCCTAATCCAGACTGGGGACAGAGGAGAGGAATTCAACCATGAAGTTCAAGTTGACAGGACAAACTAAGGCTCAGGATAGTACACTATCTTGTACAGAGCTTAGGAAGCAGCCCAGAAAACATAGCAAGGCATCCTTGATTCTGTGAATGAGCTGCTTTCTCTCAAATTATTCGGTTTGCAAATGCACATTGGTAGGAAAGTTTATTTCTCCCAGTCGACTGACAGAACTGGGTCCAGCAATAGCGTATCAGTAGTGTGTATATCAGAGTGTACAGAGATTGGGAGCTATGTTCAAAAGCTGGTGGTTCTAGCTCAGAAACCAAGAAGAGGCTCTGGTGTTCCCTCCTACCCACTCTCTGCCCCCAGTTACTGGTGCTAGGTTTCTGTGGCATTTAGGGGAACTCTCTTCATAGGTAGGAAACTGGTATCTTGGAGAATCACCCCTGCATGGGGGTTCCGTTTTACTTTCACTTTGCATTCTTTTGAAATTCAATCTTAGATGTTATTGAAACATCCCTTTGAATATCTTTCCATTTAGCTATGAAACCAACATCTTTGAGAAGGTTGGTGCTTACTGGAATCTGTGCAGATTTCCTTATTATACAGTTGAGTAAGAGGAAAAATAGTGTACATGTTCTTCCACAGATGGTTGGTTTTACTGTTCGAGGAAGATGTATTGGGGCAGTAATCTTAATAGTTAAAGATTGCTGTCAGCAGAAGGAATAAAATGGTTTCAGGTCATAGTTGATTTGTAAAAAGGCTGAATCACATATTCATGCTTCATCGTTATCAGTGTACCTTCTTGGAGCTTATAGTCTTTTGATTATTAAGCTGATTTACAGGCTTAGTAAAAATAAGGATAAATAACACTGGGTTTTCTGTTTTCTTTAGTTATTCCAATGGAAACAGCTGGAGAACTTATATTTCCGTGAGAAAAAATTTGCTGTTGAAGTTCATGATCCACGAAGGTGAGGATCAAGGACTTTTCTCTGTATGACCCAGTTACTATACAAATAATGCTGCGATCAACATTTGTGTACAGGTTTTTGTATGAACATATGTTTTCATGACTCTTGGGCATATACCTAGAGTGGAATTGCTGGGTCAGATGGTAACTATCTTTAACTCCCTGAGGAACTGCAAGGCTGCTTTTCAAAGTGCTGCACTATTTTACATCCCAACCAGTAGTATATATCCTGATACTTGTTATTTTTAGTTCTGTGTATGTGTATGCCATCCTAGTGGGTTGAAGTGGTACCTTCTTGTGGTTCTGATTTGCATTTCCCTCATGACTAATGATGGCTGAGCATTTTTTCATGTGCTTCTCAGCTATTCTTATATTGTTAGTAGAGAAATGTCTATTCAGATCTTTTGCTCATTTAAAATGTTGGTGCTCCTAGTCATTAATTAAAAAAAAAAAAAAGCCAAGTTATCAACATGAACGGAAGTCAGGAAGTGGGTTCTTATCTATCTTTTTTTTTTTTTGAGATGGAGTTTCGCTCTTGTTACCCAGGCTGGAGTGCAATGGCACAATCTCGGCTCACCGCAACCTCCGCCTCCTGGGTTCAGGCAATTCTCCTGCCTCAGCCTCCTGAGTAGCTGGGATTACAGGCACGTGCCACCATGCCCAGCTAATTTTTTGTAGTTTTAGTAGAGACGGGGTTTCACCATGTTGACCAGGATGGTCTCGATCTCTTGACCTCATGATCCACCCGCCTCGGCCTCCCAAAGTGCTGGGATTACAGGCTTGAGCCACCGCGCCCTGCCCTGGTTCTTATATATCTTAAGAGAAATTCTTTATTTGTTTTTGCCCCAAGACAGAGTCTCAATCTGTCACCCAGGCTGCAGTGCAGTGGCGCAATCTTGGCTCACTGCAACCTCTGCCTCCCAGGTTCAAGTGATGCTCATGCCTCAGCCTCCCACGTAGCTGGGACTACAGGCATGCACCACCACGCCAAGCTAATTTTTGTATTTTTAGTATATACAGTGTTTTACTATGTTGGCCAGGCTCATCTCAAACTCCTGACCTCAGGTGATCCATACCTTGGTCTCCCAAAATGCTGAGCCACCATGTCGGGCCTTAAGAGAAATTCTTAATCAGTCCTTAGTGGTTACTTTTCAGTCCCAAGATGGCTATGGATGTTTGAAGGCCAGAGTGATGGGAGGAAATACCTGTGATCAAAAGGTGACCCGAAGAGATAAGCCAAATTCTTACAAAGAGCATTAGTACCGTGTCACACACACAGTCTGTCTGCTTCTTGCGTGTTCTCTCTTTCTCCCTTTTACTCCCTTCCCTCCCTTCTTCCTCCCTCCCCCTCTCTTTCCTCCTCTCTCCTCCCCCCTCCCCTTTCCTCTTTCCATCTCATGTACAAGCAGCAAGCACTCTGGATAGTTTTGGACTTGCATAGTCTCAGGCATTATCATTAAGTGCATTCTCTGATAATGTCATAGCCAGCCAAATCTACCTAGATCTGAGACACTCTTTTACCTTGAATTAGGTGCTCATCCCACACTTGGTTGCTGTATCTTTAAAATCTTATCCCATTTATTTCTAATCACTTGTGATGGCTGCACATCCTTAGAGTTTCTAACTAAATGTTTTTGTACGATCTCTAATTTGATTGATTCTTACCAGCTTTTGAATTCATTGTATGTGTTTTTAAACATGCTGTTTATCCAGAAAGCGATTACTTAGTTCTGAATTGTTTTGATGTAAAAGGAGAAAATCAGAAACTTGGTCCTCATTTGCATAAGAGTTTTTATAACAGATAGACAAGTAAGGGGAAGATACTTTGTTAGAACGCTGCTCATGGGGTGTATTTTGCATCATGCTGGGCTGGAGGAGTAGTATTTGAGTGCTTTCTTAAATCTTTCAGGATTTCAGTGTCAAGAAGAACCTTTGGGCAAAGTGGCCTCTTTGTGCAAACATGGTATGCTAACTCTTCTCTCATCAAGTCCATTTGGGTAATGGCAATTAGTCAGCATCAGTTTTACTTGGACCGGAAGCAAAGCAAAGTAAGTAACTGGCAGCATTTCTATAGGGACAGATTCTCTTTTTGCATTCTGTTCAGAATATAAGCCTTAGAAAAGATGCAAGCACAAGCATTTTTGCTCTCTGAGATTTTGTTGTGTTCAACTTCCAACTGTTTCCATTTTTTATATGTTTAAATGATAGGCATTATGTAAGCTGCTTTAAAAGTTGTAAGACTGGCCAATGTTTTGGCATGCATGTGTGACATACTGGTATGTTCGTATACTGGTGACATTGCTGGTGGTGATGTTGCTGATGTCATTTTAAAATTAGTAGCTGAACCACACCATCAGAAAATCACGCATAGTTATTAAAACATTTTAACTACAACACTTAAGGCTTTGCGTGTGTGTGTATGTGTGTGTTGTCTGAAGAATCCCACTTGAATATGCTAGAATTTTAAATTATCCTGTGTTGATATTTTTATTATATGTTAACTTAATTGTTTTATGAATTTGAAGTATGTTTAAGTGAATTCTGTTTCATTGTTGTGTACCTCTTAGGCAAAAATTCCTTCAGCCAGGAGTTTAGATGAGATTGCAATGGATTTGACTGAGACAGGAACACAGAGAGCCTCCAAGCTGGTGACACTGGAGGCGAAAAGTCAGTTCATCATGGCAAGCAATGGCAGTTTAATCTCCTCAGGTAACATCTTGGGATTAGAGAACGTGCAAACCATCTTTATTTTATTTGTTTTTTTGGTCATAAACCACTTCTAAATCCATCTTTTAATCTATTCTTTTGGGAATAAATATGTCCATAAATATGTATGCAACGACTTTGAATAAAAATTTAAGGCTAGTTTTTTAAAGAATATAGAGAAAGTCAAATTATGAATAGGTTGTGCAAGTAATATGAGATGCAAGGATGAGGAGTACAGATGTGTGGCTCCAAAGAACATTTTCCACAGTAGCTGCTTTTCCCAGCATTTAGTTTTTGATACAGATAATTGTCTAATTCTCCATGCAATATAAAATGCTGTACAAACATGATTACAAGCATACCCATTCAAATATGATAGCTTGCCCTAAGCCCTTCCTCTGTAAAAATTCTGGAATCTCTTATTAAGTATATGTAACTTTACTAAAATGATTCATCCCATCTAAATCTCACTGTCAGCTTGTGAATCTGAATCTTCCTTCACACAGATTATTCTTTTCCTTGCCTGCTTACTTACTTTCCTTCTTTCTTTCTTTTCTGAGACAGAGTCTCCCTCTGTCACCCAGGCTAGAGTGCAATGGTGTGATCTCATCTCACTGCAACCTCCGCCTCCTGGGTACAAGTGATTCTTCTGCCTCAGCCTCCTGAGTAGTTGGGACTACAGGCACATGCCACCATACTCTGATAATTTTTGTATTTTTAGTAGAAACGCAGTTTCGCTATGTTGGCCAGACTGGTCTTGAACTCCTGACCTCATGATCTGCCCGCCTTGGCCTCCCAAGTGCTGGGATTAGAGGTGTGAGCCACCGTGCCCGGCCTTCCTTGCTTACTTACTCTCTAAAAAGAACACTTGAAACAACTACTCAAGAACTATCTTATCTTCTCTTCTGCTCAGAAAAATGAAAATTTTCCTTGGGTGTGTCTGGGATGTTAAGCATTTTATCGTTATCCCCAAAAGGACTGAGCCAGAATCCAAAAAGGAACACTTTTTTTTTTTTTTTTTTGAGACGGAGCTTCGCTCTTGTTACCCAGGCTGGAGTGCAATGGCGCGATCTCGGCTCACCGCAACCTCCGCCTCCTGGGTTCAGGCAATTCTCCTGCCTCAGCCTCCCGAGTAGCTGGGATTACAGGCACGCGCCACCATGCCCAGCTGATTTTTTGTATTTTTAGTAGAGATGGGATTTCACCATGTTGACCAGGATGGTCTCGATCTCTTGACCTCGTGATCCACCCGCCTCGGCCTCCCAAAGTGCTGGGATTACAGGCTTGAGCCACCGCGCCCGGCCCAAAAAGGAACACTTTATTACCAGGTTCTCTTTGATGTCCAGAAGAATGAGAAAATGTTTTCCAGTTTCCTTTTATTATGTTGAGAAACAAGGAGAAAAGAAACTACCATTTAATAAGCAGCTTTAGCTTAAAAATCCTTTGTCCTTTAGAAAGGAAGGAAACATGCCTTATATAAACCTTCCCTGCCCTTCCCCGATTCCCTAGGTTCTCAAGACTCAGAAGTTAGTGAGGAGCAAAAGAGAGAGAAAATCCTTGAACTAAAAAAGAAGGAGAAACTTTTACAAGAAAAACTTCTGAAAAAAGTTGAGGAGCTTAAGAAGATCTGTCTGCGGGAGGCTGTGAGTCTGTGTTTTGGACTTATCAAATTGTGTTTGACAACTTTGACCAGTGTCAATTATCTGCTCTTAATTCTGTCCTGTTTTACAGGAGCTTACAGGCAAAATGCCAAAGGAGTATCCCCTGAACATAGGCGAGAAGCCTCCTCAGGTCAGAAGACGTGTAGGTACTGCGTTCAAATTAGATGACAACTTGCTGCCGAGTGAAGAGGTATGAACGACATCTCTGAGACTTTCAATTAATCATGAGACAGGAAAGCTGTCTGAGTACAGTGTACTTCCTTTGGTTTTTGAATCTCAGCTGTATGTTATCTCACCAATAGAGATGGATCATGCACACCAAATTGAACTCTTTCTTTCATCCCCACTCCAGTCAAAATTGAGTTACTTTTCGCTACTTTATTCCCCAAATCAAAGAGAGCATTCAATGAAACTCCAAATGCTTCTCAATTGAGAGGCAGTATTTTAAGAATTAAGAACTGCAGCATTAGGTTCATTTACTTAAAACTAAATAATAGCAAATAGTTCAGCCTCTCTAAAGTCTCATTTCTCAGGCCTCAGTTTTCCTCATCTGTAAAATGCAGATAATAATTGGACTTCCCTCCAAGGGATCCAGTGAGTATTAAATGAGATAATACATGCACAGCACTGAGCTACAATCAAGATAAAACATTTGTTAGCTGATATAGAGTGTATAATACTTTCTCATTTGCATGTCATCAGTCAATATGACCGTACCTATGTTTCTTGTAGAAATTTGACCATCTTAGCTTTAGAAAATTTTAGCTGTTTCCATCTTTGGAAATCTTTGCTATTTATTGAGTGCTCACTACGTACCTATCTCTGAGCTAAGCAATGCACATATATTGTCTCATTTGATCTTCAACCTACTTTCATAAGGTAGGTGTTATCTTCATTTTACAAACGAAAAAACTGAACCATTAAAAGATGAAGCTATGTGTCAGTTCTGGGCACAGGGTTCTAGGCAATGTATCTGGGGTCATACAACCAGAAACCACCAAAAGAAGGTCAAACCCAAATTTATCTGTCTCTAAAGCTATGCATATGAATATAACCTTCTGCATCCATGAGCTTTAAGAATATATCTGTGAAAACTGTGATCTTGACCCAACCAACTGAAGGAATGGAAGACTCAAGGAAGGGTCCTTGGAAAGAGAAGAGGTTTGGACTAATGAGATGTCTATGCGGTAAAACTTAGGAAGATAGTATTCTCAAAGAACATCTGATTCAAGAAAGTCCACAAGAAGTTTTATTACACAATGCATGTGAGAGCTGGTCGTATGTGTCCATAAAAATTAAGCTGTCATTATATAAAAATGCAGGATCCTACTTTGCAAGAGCTGGAGAGTAATTTCCTAATACAACAAAAGCTGGTGGAAGCTGCAAAGAAACTTGCCAGTGAGCCAGACCTTTGTAAAACTGTGAAGAAAAAGCGAAAGCAAGATTACACAGATGCAGTGAGAAAGCTTCAGGAGATTGAAAATGCAATAAACGAATATCGAATTAGGTGTGGAAAGAAGCCCAGCCAGAAAGCAACAGTGTTACCAGGTTAGTAACAAGTAAGGTTTTTTTTTTTTTTTTTTTTTTTTTTGAGTCCCTACTCAATACTTAATGGTATGTAGCATTTCCAAACCAGTTACCAGTTAATTTGGTGAGAGATAAAAGAAAAACCAGATGATCAAAACTAAGTTTTCTTTCCTTTTTTTTTTTGGGGGGGGAGTCGGAGTTTGGCTCTTCTTGCCCAGGCTGGAGTGCAGTGGTGCAATCTCTGCTCACTGCAACCTCCACCTCCTGGGTTCGAGCGATTCTCCTGCTTCAGCCTCCCAAGTAGGTGGGGTTACAGGCATGCGCCACCACACTCAGCTAATTTTGTATTTTTAGTAGAGACAGGGTTTCACCCTGTTGGTCAGGTTGGTCTCAAACTCCTAACCTCAGGTGATCCACCCTCCTCGGCTTCCCAAAGTGCTGGGATTACAGGTGTGAGCCACTGTGCCTGACAAAACTGGGGTTTCTTAGGATAAAAATTGTTTGGAATTTCAGTCTTATAAGTGTGTAAACTTGATTTTAAAATTCTGTGATTTATGAAGGCTATTTAAAGATATGGACAGCACGGGCATGGCGGCCTACACCTGTAATCCCAGCACTTTGGGAGGCCGAGGTGGGTGGATCACACCAAGCTAAGGTGTTTGAGACCACCCTGGGAAGCATAGCGAAACCCCGTCCCTTCAAAAAATATTTTAAAAAGTAGCCAGACATGGTAGTGCACACCTGTAGTCCCAGCTACAGGGGAGGCTGAAATGAGAGGATCACTTGAGACTGGGCAGTGGAGGCTGCAGGGAGCTGTGATTGCACCACTGCAATCCAGCCTGGGTGACGGGGCAAGACCCTGTCTCAAAAAAAAAAGAAAAAAGAAAAAGTAAGCAAAATTTAAAAATAAAGATATGGGCAAATGGTCATGATATAATGTGAAATGCAGAAAGCCAGATATAAAATTTTTACCACAACATGATCCCAATTTTGTAGAAATAAGCACACACAAAGACTAGACAAGAAATATTTCAGAATACTAATAGTTGCGAAATTTCAAGTAACTTAATTTTCTTCTTTTTATTTTTTTAATTTTTTCTATTTTTTAAATTTTCTTCTTAATAATACTCTTCTGTATTTCCCAAGTTCTCAACATTATATATTTATGACTTTAATTTTCAGAATAAAAGTAAACCAAGAAATCACAGGTAGTTTTAAAGTCCAATTGGCTTTACATGGTTATTGGCATGGTTTTCAGCTGTGGTGATTGAAATATGATTGTATTTCTTTGATTTCAAGACATTTTTTTTCCTTTACAATTTAACATCTAAGGGATAGTTCCTTTTTTTTTTTTTTGAGACAGAATCTCTCTCTGTCCGCCAGGCTGGAGTGCAGTGGCACCATCAAAGCTCACTGCAGCCTCGACTTCCTGGATTCAGGTGATCCTCCTGATAGCTGGGACTGTAGTATGCACCACCATGCCCAGCTAATGTTTTGTAGAAATGGAGTTTCACCATGTTGTCCAGGCTACTTTCAGACTCCAGAGCTCAAGCAATCCTCCTATCTCAGCCTCCCAAAGTGCTGGGATTGCAGGTGTGAGCCACACCCAGCCTTGTAATAGTTCTTAACACACTAGATGGTGTGTTATAATAATACTTGGCAGTACTTTTTTTTTTTTAACTGGTGCTTAAAATATATATCTTAGATTTGATGAAATACAGTAACTGAGTTTAGATTATACTTGGGTATAGAGCATGTAATTTACAAAGCAGAGACATGGCTTTTGGAAAGGGAATATACAGACATCAACACACAAGTGTTAGTGCACCACAGCTGAATAATGTAGAGTAGCTTTGACTGAATGTGAAATCCAGTTGGCCTTGGGGGTGGTTAATTTCTAGACCTTCAGATATGGGTGATTAGCATTGTGCTTAACTTTAAGGCCATTCGTTATGGCTCATTCATCCTCAAACTGCAAAACTTAAATGTTCTCCTTTACGGTGAAAGTGTGTCTGACAGCTGAGTATATTGGCACCTTGCCTTCAAGCGCCACTACGTGTCTAATAGATAGTTCACTTGTTTCTGATACAGATTCACATTAGAGATTGGATGGAGAGCTTCCCTTCATAATGGTTTTGAAGTTTATATCGAAGGATTATATTTACCTAGAACCTTGTGCCAAAACACTCAACCAAATATGGAATGATTTGCCAAAGCAGATCAAAACATCTGAGTTATTCCTCTTTACTGAATACATTTTTTTTTTTCCATTTGAGACAAAGTCACCCAGGCTGAAGTACGGTGGTGTGATCTCAGCTCACTGCAACCTCCACCTCCCAGGATCAAGCAATTCTCCTGCTTCAGCCTCCCAAGTAGCTGGGATTACAGGCATGCACTACCACACTTGGCTAATTTTTGTATTTTTAGTAGAGATGGGATTTCACTGTGTCGGCCAGGCTGATCTCAAACTCCTGACCTCAAGTGATCAACCAACCTCGGCCTCTCAAAGTGCTGAGATTACAGGTGTGAGCCGTTTTGCCAGGCCATGTTATTTAACATTTGATGGATACCAGCAATAGTCAGAGTGTTACGGTCATTACCAACCAGAACACAGTCTCTAGGTAACAAAAGCAGTAAGTCTAGCTAATATTTACTGAGCGTTTGTCATGTAATGCTGGGAGCTGAGCTAGGGGCTTTACATCCGTTATTCTAACACCTCACCCCAGTACTATGTGATAGGTACTGTTGTTACCCCCACTGTAGGGTTCAGCTGAGTGATGCTTAGAGATTAAGTAATTTGCCCAAGGTCTCGCAGTCAATAAATGGCAAAACCAAGACTTAAACCTAATTCAGTGGTTCTCATCCAGGGAGGCTGGAAATCCTATAATGCACAGGACAGCTCCCCAGGACAAAGGATTATCCAATTCAAAATGTCAGTAGTGCCACTGTTGAGAAACCTGTTGAAAAGCTTGGCTGGTTGTAGTGGTTCACACCTTTAATCCCAGCACTTGGGGAGGCTGAGGCAGACAGATCGCTTGAGCCTAGGAGTTCAAGACCAGCCTGGCCAACGTGGTGATACCCCTATCTTTACTAAAAATCCAAAAAATTAGCCAGGTGTGGTGGTGCGTACCTGTAGTCTCAGGTACTCAGGGGGCTGAGACGGGAGGATTGTTTAAGCTCAGGAGGTTGAGATTGCAGTGAGCCATGATAGCACGACTTTACTCCAGCCTGGGCAACAGAATGAGACCCTGTCTCAAAAACAAAAAAGAAAAAAAATAGAGAAGGCCCTTTCTTTCAGGAACAGGTCAAAAAACAAGTAATGCTAAGAGTAGATTCTCAAATGAGAATTCGCTTGTGTTTTATATAACATTTAGCATTTATAATAAGAATGGCATGATTTTTCTTTCCAGTTTGTTGGTTGTAAGCACCAAAAATGTAGGTAAAGCTTTCTTCCAGTGTAGAAGAAACACCAAAAACTAGTTTAAAACCAGCACTCCCTTGAAGTCTGTTCCATTTTAAGAAATAATCTAATGTAATATTCGTACAATATGTAAGATGTTTTGATTTTTGTTAGTATATGAGTCGATTCTTACTACAGTAGTTAATTATTTTTAATGCACTGTAATTAGTTACTTTTTTTAAAAGAAGATAAAATTTATTCCCTTGAAAGTTGTTCTTCTAGGGCCCCTCTAATTGTATAAATGCATAATTATACTAAAAGCAGTTATTTTCATTCACAGAAGACATAATCCCCTCAGAGAGTAGCTCTTTGTCTGATACCACCACATATGATGATCGTAAGTGGCTCTTCCTTTTTTGCTTTAAAAATGTTAGATATTCTGAAATAATTAAGATAATTTTCTTAGTTAAGTAAAGCCTACTTGTTTCTCTTTTGCCAAAACGTAGAATAAACTAACTTGCATTCATGCAAAATGGTTGGGAAAGGAAATGCATGATTAACACCTACTCAGGTTAACTCAGCATTAAAAACAGGACCATACAAAATCACATGACTTCAGGAAATCAGAACACTTTCACAGGATTGTCTAAGTCTCTCAGTAAGGACTTGAAGGCTCTCTGAAGTGTTTCTTAACTTTTTATTTTCAAGTAATCATGGGCTCATGGAGAGTTCCATAATTAATAGAAAGAGTCCTTCAGCCAGCTTTCCCCAATGGTGACATCTTAAATATCTGGAGTCCAATATCAAAACTAGGATATTAGAGTGTATGCTTTGATTATCACTGAATTCATCACAATATGAAATAAAATTATTGTATGTTTCACAATATGAAATAAACTTTCACATTTTAGATAAATGAAAGTTTTTCACTTAGGAAGAAAGGCACAGTTAGACGTTGGGCTACCTGTCATTTTGTTGTTTCATAGAGGTAGACTGTATCGATTGTAATGGCCTGTAGTTGTTCTATACATTTCATTGTAGAATGGGTTTCCTATCAACTAGTAGAGTATTTCTTTGTCATCTCTTTTACTTAACCAGATGAGTTGGCTTCTCTGTGATATGACTTGAAGAATTCAGGAAGCCACCCCCTACTGCTTTATCTTTCCCAAGTTTTGTGGTACATAAAATTTCACCACTGCAGACTTCTTTGGTCATCCTTGCCATTCCTCTTTGAAAATGTAATTATCAGTGGGAAACATAACAAGCCTCTAATGATGGAGCATAAGTCAGTTTCGTTACTTTAAATGACGGGATAAGCCTTTGGCCTAAAAGGTCTAAAAACTTTTTTTTCTTTTTATTTGTATCGTCTTTTTGTTCACTACCTTCATCCTTTTTTATCTTTTTTTATGCTTTGTTTTTTCTTTCTTCTTGAGGCCTAAAAACTTTAAAAGTAAAGGTGAACAAAAATGATCCAGGCTAACTTCCCCTTGGTTCTTTCCACACTGGGGATTTTCTTTAATATAGCTTTTAAAAAGCTGCTCTATTACCCATTCCCCTTGAGTGATTTACTCTCTCAGAGTAGAATTTGGCAAAAGATGTTTCAGATCCCAGAAGAGGGTTCAGTAATTTCATGTTTTCTGATGTATAAAATATAAAAAATAACTTCTTGAAAGTTAAGTACTTCTAAAACTATCATCTTTGGAAGAACACTTTGTTCACTAAATCTTCCAATTTCTTTTTTTAAGGTGTTGGCAAGATATTTATTTACTTATTGATTTACCTACTGATTTTTTTATTCACCCATTTACTTATTATAGCCAGTGACGCCTTCTCTGTTGCTGGGCAGCGATCAAGTTCAGTACCTCATTCTCCAAGAATTCTTCCCCCTAAATCTCTTGGTATTGAACGAATCCATTTCAGAAAGTCGTCCATCAATGAACAGTTTGTGGATACCAGGCAGTCCAGGTGAGACCTCATATTATCAGTAAGGTTAATGCCTCACAACTAGGAAATTTTTCCTCCAAAATGTAGTGTGTGGTTGATATAGTTTCACATGTTTTTATTTATCCTTCCAGAGGATGTTATCTTGTAAAACTGGGGCATAGAAACTAACCCAGTTATTTGTTGTTTGCAGCAAATGAAAATGAAAATGTTTTTAAGAAGTCTTTTAAAATGCATTTGACCATTTCCTTGACTTTAAAGTCTATTCGACCTATATTAATTTGTAGGGACATTAATTATCATCTGGATTTGGACATAGCGTCCTCAGTACAGTTTCATAGTCACTGGTCTAAGGAAATTGTCATTAACCAAGTAGCGGGACTGATTTCCAATCCTGCAAATAAACATGGCACTTAAACCCATTTTATAATCTGTAAAATAGATAATCCAAGCATTTTCTTAAATATCTCAGTTGTAAATATTATCAGTGCAATAAGAAACTTGACAGGCCAGTGGTTCCCAGAATTTGGCTGTATGGACAAATCCTTAAAAAAAAAAAAAAAAAATTAAGACACAAGATGGGATTACCAGTGGTTGGTTTGCCTAAAAAGGAATCTTCAAACAGGCTGAGTGTGGCAGCCCACACCTATAATCCCAGCACTTTGGGAGGCCAAGGTGGGAGGATCACTTGAACTGAAGAGTTGGAGACCAGACTGGGCAATCTAATGAAGCCCCATCTCTACATTAAAAAGAAAAAAAAATTTAACTTATTTGTTAGACAGAGTCTTGCTCTGTTGCTCAGGCTGGAGTGCAGTGGTGAAATCTCAGCCCACTAAAACCTCCGTCTCCTGGGTTCAAGCGATTCTTTCACCTCAGCCTCCTGAGTAGCTAGGATTACAGGCACTCACCACCATACCCATCTAATTTTTGTATTTTTAGTAGAGACAGAGTCTCCCTATGTTGGCCAGGCTGGTGGTCTTGAACTCTTGACTTAACGTGATCCACCTGCCTCGGCCTCCCAAAGTGCTGGGATTACAGGCATGAGCCATCACGCTTGGCCCCTAGTTTTTTTTTTTTTTTTTTTTTCATTAGCCAGACATGGTATTGTATACCCGTAGTCCTAGCTATTTGGTAGACTGAGGCAGGAGGATTGCTTCAGCCCAGGATTTCAAGAGTGAAGTGAACTGTGATCATGCCACTGCACCCCAGCCTGGGCAACACAGCAAGATGCTGACCTCCCCCCGCCAAAAAAAAGGCAGGGCATGGTGGCTCATGCCTGTAATCCCCCAGCACTTTGGGAGGCTGAAGCAGGTGGATTATGAGATCAAGAGATTAAGACCATCCTGGCCAACATGGTGAAACCCTGTCTCTACTAAAAATACAAAAATTAGCTGGGCATGGTGGCACCCTCCTGTAGTCCCAGCTACTTGGGTGGTTGAGGCAGTAGAATCACTTGAACCTGGGAGGCAGAGGTTGCAGTGAGCCAAGATGACACCACTGCACTCTAGCCTGGTGACAGACTGAGATTCTGTCTCAAAAAAAAAAAAAGAAAAGAAATGATCAAACAAATAGCACCATGAATCCATGAAAGAAACAACATTTTGATATAAAGAATATATCCACTATCATTGTAGTAATACTAATTGGATGAAGTTAACATTTCACTTAATGTTAATTTGATTTTATATTAATTTTATATAACATTTCTATTGAGTGCTTACCTTTTTTTCTTTTTTCTTTTCTTTTTTTTTTTTCTGAGACGTGGCCTCACCCTGTTGCCCAGGCTGGAGTGCAGTGGCACCAGTAGCCTCCTGGCTCACTGCAGCCCCCTCCTTTTAGGTTCAAGCAATTCTCCCACCTCAGCCTCCCGAGTAGCTGGGATGTGTGCCACCACGCCCCGGTAATTTTTGTATTTGTAGTACAGGTAGGGTTTCACCATGTTGGCCAGGCTGGTCTTGAACTCCTGACCTCAGGTGATCTGCCAACCTCGGCCTCCCAAAGTGCTAGGGTTACAGGCATGAGCCACCACGCCTGGCCGGCTGTTGATCATTTACTGTGTCCCAGACACTGTTTATGTTTTTCCCATGTAATTTATTAATGAATTTAATCCTCATGACAACCCTACTGTCATTACTCTTTAGAGATAAGTACACTGAGGGCCAGGGACCACGAATAACTTCATTGGGTTCATCAACTAGTAAACAAAGGAATCAAGGTTTGAACCTAGGTAGCCTAGAACTTGGCAGGCTCCGAAGCTTACGATGTGTGTGATTTCAGTGAACATGTTATACTGCATCTCAGCAAAGATGGAAGGTATTTGCTTTACAAGGGCCAAACAGAATAATTTTTTTTTAATTTTAAATAAAGAAAATTATTCTCAAAATCAAGGTAGATTACTGGATTATTCAAATTGGATAAATTTTTACTTATGAAAATATAACCTACACTTTGTTATGTTTGTAATTTGTTAAAGGCCAGTGAAAACTTTACCGTGTATCAGCCCCAGTTTGTGGATTAGCATTTAGGAACTTTTGCCTGAAATGGTAGATTCAAGGAGCCAGAGCTGCGGTAGCCAATTTAAAGTAAATAAAATTTAAAATTTGGTTCCTCAGTCATGCTAGCCACAATTCAAATGCCCAGCAGCTACATGTGGCTAGTGGCCACATGTGTACTCTTTATTAAAAGTCCTTTTTTTTCTACGTATTTGTGACTAGAAAGTCAGACCATATATGCTTCCACTAAAACTCACCTAGGATGTACCAGGACACTAAACCGCAAAGATACCCTTCCTATCTTTCTCCCTATATTCCCTTTCCTTGGGCTTCTAGTAAGTTTCCTATCAGCTTACGAAAAGTTTCCCAGAGATGTTGAGAGATTCATCATTTCCTGAATTCTTCTTTTTATCCTCACAGAGAAATGCTGTCGACACACAGCAGCCCTTACAAAACTCTAGAGAGGCGGCCCCAGGGAGGACGAAGCATGCCCACCACACCAGTGCTTACCCGAAACGCCTACAGCAGCGGCCACTTGGAGTAAGAGAGCTTCATTCTCATTGCTTTGGCTCTGTTGATTTTTGCTTTGAGGTTCTGTCTTGCTGTGTTGCAGTTTTTAATCATTTCAAGTGACTTTCTGTAGCAGGAATTTGTTTTATGGTTTTACATTCTCTGCTAACTTATGGTTTCAAATATGTTGGCAAAAAAAATGTATTTGATTTGTTCAAGTATACATTAGATTTTTAGTACCTTAATTTCCCCTGTCACATATTGCCGTTCATTATTCAATGGTGAGGATGAAGTTAGTAACAATAGCAACATTTTGAAATGTTTGTGAGTGCTATGCTAAATGTTTTATATGCACTGTATTATTTAGTCCCTATAGCAAGCCTTTGGTGAGGTAATAAGATATTGTTTTCATCCTCCTCTTACAAAGGAGGAAGCAAGATTCAGAGAGATTAAATATCTTGTCTGAGCTCATACAGCTGGGAAATACCAGTGCCGTGACTCAGCCCAGACTTATATGTACCATATCTTCATATCCTCTAGGAAGACAGACCCTCCAAAGACATGTTGGGTTTTTTTTTTAGTCTCCAGTGCAAACTGTGCATCATCAGTTTGTGTCTTTCCCTACCCTCAAGGGAGGATTTGGCTTGCAGAACGAATAGAACCCAGTTCTTTTCTCATTTTGACCGTGGTAATGAACTTACGTGTGAGCCAATAGATTTGGTGAACAAATAGATTTTGTTGTGCAGTCAGCTTTGGCAACCTTCAAAGTCCTACTGCGATTCACGAGCTATTCAGTCATTCAGCATGGTATTCTTTTTTCCTATGTGGGTCCTCCTTTCCTTCTTGCTTTTGACAGATTTGCCTTTCTCCTCTTTCAGACCCGAATCTTCGTCTCAGCACTGCCGCCAGCGGAGTGGAAGCCTGGAGTCCCAGTCCCACCTGCTCTCCGAGATGGACAGTGATAAGCCATTTTTCTCCCTCTCCAAATCCCAAAGAAGCAGCAGCACAGAAATCCTCGATGACGGGTCTTCTTATACAAGTCAATCAAGCACAGAGTATTATTGTGTGACACCAGTTAGCGGCCCTTATTACACCACCCAGACCCTGGACACTCGCACCAGGGGTCGGAGGAGGTCAAAGAAACAGAATGTTTCTACTTCAAATTCAGGAAGCATGCCCAACCTAGCACAAAAGGATAGTTTGAGGAATGGTGTCTACTCAAAGAGTCAGGAGCCACCATCTTCCAGTTACTACATTGCCGGGTACACACCCTATGCAGAGTGTGACTTTTATTACAGTGGTGGTTATGTCTATGAGAATGACACCGAGGGACAGTATAGTGTCAACCCTTCCTACCGGTCCTCAGCCCACTATGGATATGAACGCCAGAGGGACTACAGCAGATCCTTTCACGAAGATGAGGTCGACCGGGTACCCCATAACCCATATGCAACTCTCCGGCTGCCAAGAAAGGACGCCACAAAATCTGAGCACATCACCAAAAACATCCACAAGGCCTTAGTTGCCGAGCACTTGCGTGGCTGGTACCAGCGGGCCTCTGGGCAGAAGGATCAGGGCCACAGCCCGCAGACCAGCTTTGATTCAGACAGGGGATCACAGAGATGTCTGGGGTTTGCGGGCCTTCAAGTACCTTGTTCTCCAAGCAGTCGTGCATCCTCCTACTCTTCAGGTGAGAATACCGTAAAAACACGCGACACCTGGATGTTATTTACATTATGTTCCCTGCCTACCCAAAACCACTTCACGGATCATGGGACCAGTACTTAAGGTCAAAAGAGTGGTAACCATTCGGTGGAACCCCACAATCAGGATTTCCAATTTAAAAACAGTTCTTTCCAGCTCTCCAAAGAACTCAGTACCCTTGACTGTAATGAAGCAAATTGTAGATTCATATCCAGCAAACATTGATTGAACATGTACTCTCTGTGCTGCCTTGTGTTAGGATTTTGGTTTTGGGTTTTTTGGGGTTTTTTTTGTTTTTTTTTTTTGAGACGAAGTCTCACTCAGTCACCCACACTGGAATGTGTTAGGGGTTTCACTTGCATTATCTTTTTAGGATTTACATTGATAGGCACATCTATTAAATGTGTTCACGTCATTGAGGTTTGATATTTTGAAAGAATAGAGTACAGCTGGGCACAGTGTCTCATGCCTGTAATCCCAGCACTTTGGGAGGCCGAGGCAGGTGGATCACGAGATCAGGAGTTTGAGACCAGCCTGGCCAACATAGTGAAACCTTATCTCTACTAAAAATACAAAAATTAGCCGGGTGTGTAGCTCAGCTAAAATTAGCACGTGTCTGTAGCCCCAGTTACTCAGGAGGCCGAGGCAGGAGAATCGCTTGAACCCAGGAGGTAGAGATTACAGTGAGCCAAGACCATGCTATTGCACTCCAGCCTGGGTGACAGAGTGAGACTTGTCTCAAAA